AGTCATGGAAAGGCATCTCCTTTTGCTGATCTAACAAAGGAAAAGAAGGAGTTCAAGAAAGGTATAACCTCAAAGATCCAGACTAAGGAATCTATGGCGGTGAAACAACTTTTGTAAAGGTCACCACCAAGAGTAAACTAAAAGAGGAGGAAGCCCCAAGTGAATATCCAAGAGAGGAGAGGCGACGCCAAACCTTGAAAGGGTTAGAGGCAAAGGTCTACCCATTTCCAGATTCAGATGTACCTATGATTCTTGATGAATTGCTAGCTAAAAAAGTTATTGATCTTTATGAATCAAAAAGGCCTGAAGAAATCAATAAGGTTGGTGATCCTAGATACTGCAAGTTCCATCGTGTCCTTGGCCACCCGACGAGTAAATGCGTTATCTTGAAGGAGAAAATCATGATGTTAGTAAGTGAAGGAAAAATCATTATTGACCAGGATGAAACAGCGGAGGCAAATCATGCTAGTGTAGCACCAAATCAAAAGAAGTGCTCAAGGTCCACTTTCTTGCAATTTGGAAGTTTAACGCCTATTGAAGTTGATTTTCTAAGGAAAACTCTTGAGGGTTCACTAGAGATAGACAACATAAAGAAATGAAGCAGATGGTTGGACTTTGGTTACTCATAAGAAGAGGAGACATCAAGCAGTCTTTAGGATACGACTTCCTAAGACAAGAGCAACAAGAAGTGATGTGAATCAACTACAGCCATAAAAAAGCGTCAAGCCTTGTACTAGCCAAAAGATCAATGGTTCTTCATCGCAGAAGATTCGAAGGCCCATTACATTGAATGAATTATTTCCTGAAAAATTCTTTTGTGGTAGTCAAATTGGTGCAACACATGTTATTTCCTGCACAGACGAAACAAAGAAAAGCAAAGGTGAGCATAATACAACAATAACACAAAAGCATCAAACTGATGAAAAAATTGTGTCATGTTGTGCTACAATTGCCTTCACAGATGATGACTTGTTGTTAGGGTCTAAGCTACATAATAGCCCTTGTTTGTTGTAGGGTCTATTCGAGAACAACATCTCAATCGCATACTAATCGATGGTGGTTCGACAATCAATATCATGCCAAAAGTTGTTCTTAAAAAACTTGGGATCTCTATTGATGAATTGTCCAAAGTAACCTAATGATCCAAGGTTTCAATCAAGGAGGACAACGATCCATATGAAAGATTCACGTAGGATTACCCATTGGCGATGTGAAATCAAACACTTTGATTCATGTCATAGATGCCAAAACATCATACAACTTGTTGCTCGGACGTCCTTGGGCTCATGAAAATTGAGTGGTGCCATCTACTTTGCATCAATGCATGAAGTATATGAAAGATAGTGAAGTAGTCAAAATTGATACATACATCAATCCTTTCACCGAGACGGAGTCATATTTTGCAGATGCAAAATTGTATTTAGATTCTGGAAGATCAAATATGGAGAAACATGCAGAAGCCGACTCGATTGATCTCGAAGATAGTAAAGTTCAATGGGCCATTATCAAGATGTCTAAGAAGAGAACGGAAGAGGTTTCCATTAAGTTTTCACCATCTAAAAGAGACATGCAGACCAATATTGATGATGAGCAACCAATTTTTTGCTATATTCCACGTGAACGTCGAAAAAATGGACAACCACTGCTAGAGGAATGTACTCACCAAGTTCACCCACCGAGGAAAGAATTCAGTCACACAACATTCCAAGATTTGAAGGAAAAAATGACTGTCCCAGTTGCACAAGTCCCGTCTTTCACTTTGGAGCCTTCCAAAAGAAATACCCAAGTTGGTCAGATAAAAGGGAACTTTGATCAAAAGGTCTTCACATTATTTGAAAAATCAGGTTACAACTTCTCAAATCCAGCAAAGTTAGGAGAACTCATGGAGGAAGTCACTGGTGAAAAGATACATGGGCTTACAAAGTCTCAAATGCGGTTGAAGAAACAAGGATATTATGTCGCCACTCCTAAGTTTGGGTTAGAATTTAGCTTGCCGGAGCCTCTTCAGATATCATCTAAGAAGGGGAAAGAAATAACTTCATCCCACTACACCTCTTTGAACGCATTGGAAGATTGACACCCCGTGTCCCTGCATTTGAAAGATTGGGCCGCAAGGATGAAAGAGGATCCTCTAAACAAGTGGACGAATATGCCACCACCTCAAAGACTTCTGTATTTCATCGCTTGGGAACCAAAAGAAAGTCATTATCCGAAAGAAGGTTGTTGTAGCATGAAAATCAAGATTCTTGTGATGTAACTGATGACAAAGAGATTCATAGTGTTTTCCCATCACGTATGAAGAGAAAAGTTGTATTGTCAATCACCACCGATGGTTCTTTGAAGGTGAAAAGAAGCACAATTGTTGTCACCAACCAGTTTCATAAAGAAACTAATAAGGAGGAAGATGAAACCATCACAGTGGGAAGTCAGATGGAAGATTCAAACTTCACACAATCATCCTATCACATAACAGTGGAAGAAGGTCCAGACATTGATGATACAGATGATGATGTCCAAGAGGCTCCCCCTCAACTGGAGGATGGCGTACAATCAACCATAGACGACCTCAAGGAACTAAATCTAGGCACTCTAGAAGATCCGTGCCCAATCTTCATTAGTGCACTTCTTACACCAGAAGAAGAGAGTAAATACTTCAAGTTATTGGTTGAGTTCAAAGACATTTTTGCTTGGTCGTCCAGAGAAATGCCGGGCCTTAGTCCCAAGATAGTTATTTATCATTTGGGGATCAAAAAGGGAACATGTCCTATAAAGTAGTCACAACGAGTGTTTCATCCTGAGTTGGTAACACAAATTGAAGCGGAGGTCAATAAGCTCATCGAAGCTGGATTTATTCGAGAAGTGAAGTACCCATTGTGGATCTCAAATATTGTACCTGTTAAGAAGAAGAATGGTCAAATATGTGTCTGAATTGATTTTCAAGATTTGAACAAGGCATGTCCAAAAGATGACTTCCCTCTACCAATCATTGAGCTCATGGTTGATGCTACAACTGGGCATGAAGCTATGTCATTTATGGATGGATCTTCTGGATATAATCAAATCAGAATGTCTCCAAAAGATGTCATTTTGACACTTGGCAAATTATGATTGGTTCTTGCATTTGACTGGGACTACCACCTCATTTTGACACGTGGCATCACCTTGTTGGTCTTGGATGCCTAGTCACCGTGACACGTGGCATGAGTTTGGGCTTCAAGGTGAAATGGACCTTGGATTTGAATTTAATAAGATGGACTTATTTATTTGTAAAGCCCAAATTAATCATTCAGCCTAAATGAACATGGATTTAATTCAAATTTTGTATGAATTTGATCCAATACAATTTATGTGTCTACAGTACTATATGTCACAATAATTAACAACTTAAAAAATTAAAAGACATATAAAAAACTTATTAATGTCACATAAATTTAGACAAAAGACTACATATATTATTGAAAGTTACACAAAATTACTATAAATTATACTCATTTTTACTTGTCATAATTTGACTTCGCACACCCATTAAGAAAATAATTACTTATAAAGGTATTTTACCAAACTATCATATTAAATGATATCTTGAAAAATGCTTTGGAAAATAAGCATTTAACACTAAGGTGAAAACATAGGAAAAAAAAATTGTCGCCTTGATATGTCAAAAGTGATAAGTACAAATGAAAATCTATTTTAGGAATAAGAGACAAGTAAAAGTGAATAGAGAGCAATAATTAACAACTTTAAATATCTAAAAGTTATATTAAAAAAATTAGTTGACTCTTTAAATTCTGTTGGCATAATACATAAACATGACCTTTAACTTGACTTCAGCGGATAACTATGCCCTCCAACTTTGACTGTGCACAAGTAGACACTTAAACTTGTATAAAATTAAACAAGTAGACACACATCTCCTACATGACATAATACGCGTAGGACGCCACATAGGACACAATCACACAAAATTGCCATGTAAGGTGCTATGTAGGACGAATGTGTCTATTTGCTCAATTTTATAAAAGTTTAAGTTCCTACTTATGCACACCCAAATTTAAAAGTCATAATTGTCAGCTGACGCCAAGTTAAGGGTCATGTTTATGTATCATGTCAATTTTATTTGTGTCATACAAATTGAGATAACAAAATAGTATATATTGAGTTCGTGCTGAAACTAGTTCCTGTAAACTGATTTTTAAAAGATTACACGTTATTAATACCATAAATCGTTTTCTTTCTCCATGCCTCGAATTCGACAAACTAGTGATGTTGATCATGATGATAGTAGCCAGTCCTCTCAATATTTTCAAATATATTAGACACCATAGATAACTTGTGGCTGTTGTCCATTTAACAAATGCTTTCATTAGATTTTTTTCTTTTCTTTTTTGGCATTTAATTCTTTTATACGGTAGCATAATATAAAGAAATTCTGTAATATCAAAATAGTTAAAACATAATTTCTAAAAAGTAATTAACAATAATTACAACTGTTAAAAGAAGATCAGAATTAAACCTGAAAGATAAAACGTATTATAATGTTTCGTTATTCATTTTGCATTATTAACATATATAAGCATTGTAGATTAAATCTATTTTTCTAAAACGATATTGAACATGATTAGTTGATTTAAAGCAGCTGATTAGCATAAGCATTGAAAATATTTCTATAAATAAGTAGTTATGAATTTGATTTAAAGTATTAAAACCGCTAATAAAACATTGATGGATTTGATTAAAAGACATATATTGATAGTCAACTTTATTATTAAAAATGACTAATATATTAAAAAGTGAATTTTCTTACCAATATGATAAATCTACATTTAATCCATAAATATCGGAGCGCATATTCCAAATTAAGAGAAATATTCCAAGGAAAATTATACATGTAAATAATGAATGATGACTTGATTATATATATATAATCTAAATCTTTTCTTCCCTCCACAAAACCACAATTGATATCCATTTTCTTTTTTTTTCTTTTCTTTTTCTTTTCTTTTCTTTTGTTTTGTTTTTCTTTTGTATGTCTATTACAGGGTGTAAATGACGATTACAAGAAAAATGGAGAATTATGTTGAAGAAAATCAAAATATGAGAGAAGAAAATAAGATCATAAGTAGTTTGTATCATAATATTTTTATACTTACAAATGATGAAGAAGAAGGAGGAGGTTGCAATGATGAAAATCCCTCTACTTATGTATTTGGTTGTGAGGATGATAATAACAATAATGACACACAACATACCATGGAAAATGCTATCTATTGGGAATCACAAGAAGCCTTGCTTAAGGTATGTTTATCAACTTTTATAAATATTATTTATGTTTATGAATTTGCATTAGTTTCATCCTTCATAACAATATTGTTGTGTTTTAAAGGTGTGAATCTTATATTATTTCTGATTTGCTAATTTGAATACAAGAGATAGCATATATTTTAATCATCATATGGTTTTTGTTTTTCTCTTAATAATTAGGTCATTCTTAAAACATATTTTTTCCTTTTGCTCTCAAATAATGCAAAGATGGTTTTTGAATATCCACTTTTACAAAATATTTACTACAACAATTTAATATTCTTAGGGGTATAAACATTGAAATGAAATGGTGATAGGATTAATTTTCACCCAACAATATCTGTTCTCAACTATATTGTTTTTGGTATTTCCTTCTGGCAAAACGCAAACAAAGGCTTTTCACCAAAGGCAATTTCATTTTGATCATGAAAACATAGGTCCTATTTCTTTCCAAATTTTGCCATATTGAAGGAGGCAAAAAGATACTCCCTTTTTATTCTGTTTTAAAAAATAAATCTTCACAAATTTTAACTTTCCATTTTTTTTTATATCAAATCAAAATCAGACAAATAGATTAAAACGAAATCCGTAAGAAATTTTTAGCTCTTTAATTTTTTTTCTTCTTTGCCAAAGAACAAATACCTCTTTTCACCTTTTGATTGGGACAAAAATACAATTGAATCATTTCACAGGTTTCAATTTTTCTTCAAATAAATAGATGAAGAATTATTATCCCACACAGTGATAAAGTCAAATTAGAGGAATTGTTTCTCAACAAACGTGCTTTAAACAAAAAGATCTCCTTTTTATTTGTCATCTACCATATATTTTCCTATTAAATATATTCTTTCTGTTCCAAAAGAAGTATCAAAAAAAAATTATTCCAAAAATAAGTGTTATACAAGGATTCAACTATAACCCTACACTTGATCTTTTCTTAGTAATGTTCAACTGTCACGAAATATTCATTAATGAAATAAAGATAGTTTAATAAACTACACATTATATTTATTGATTTTTTAATATTTTGGGAGGAAGAACGTAATAAAACACAACAATATTAAAGCATGTGTCCTGTGGTGCAATATTCATAAAGTATATCTTACGTTCTGAGAACAGAAATATTCTATGGAATTTATTGCAATTCGTTTGACACTAGGGTGTGGTTGATACGCACAGGAGGTTTTTTTAAAAAAAAATAATAACCATGATTTAGAAAATATTTTTTTCTAGAGAAAGGATTTTTAAATAAAGTTAAAAAAAAATTCAAACAAATTTTATATTAAAGTATTTTTAAAATAATATTATATGTTTATTTATCAAACATCGTAAAAATGGTAAGAAATTTACTTTTGTTTAGGAAAATATTTTCTTTTCCTACCAAACACATCATATGGTTGTTTTGTAAGGACATATGAAAATCTTTTATGGAAGGCAATAATTTGAGACATGGATCTGTTGATCACTCTAGCGTATATTTAGTGTGCCCACAATTGAATGGTTAAGGATTTCGGGCTTTATTACGATAATTGTAAACCACTCTTTTGGTCACTACAAATTAAATTCCGCTAATATAATTTGTAGGGTCATGATTTTCCAAAAAGCATAATACTAAGGGGTCATTTGGTAGAGTGTATTAGCAAAAATAATACATGCATTAACTCTGTGTATTAGTTATACCTTGTTTGGTACACTTTTTCATGCTATGTATAACTAATGCTCTATTGTGTATTAAGGAGTGTATTACTAATACCATAGATTTCTAGGTATTAGTAATACAAAGGATTTTAACACTTGCATTAGATTAACTAATGACAAAACTACCCTCTGAGCCTTATCAAAACATTTTTCAATACTTTTCCACTATAAACTAATGTTTTCCTATTTTCATATGTTTGGTTGGGTTAAATATTTTCCAAATCAACTCATTTTCCTCAAATTTAAGGAAAATGACTTCCCTTCAAAAGTTAAGGAAAACATTTTCCAAAACTCTCTTCTAACTTCAAATTACATTTTTCTATGGTTGAAAAAATCAATTTATTTTGTCCCTACCCTCAAACCACCCCCCACCCCACCACCCAACCAGCCCCCCAAAAAAATTAAAGCTTGTTTTTAAAAATAATTTTAACTTCAATTTTTTTGTTTTTTTACCCCACCCTCACCCATACCCCCCAGCCCCTCGCTCCCCAAAAAAAAAAAAAATTAAAAAGCTGTTTTTAAAAGATATTTCCAATTTCAATTTTTTATTTTTTTACCCCACCCCACCCACTACCCTTGACCCCCCATCAACCCCATACCAGCCCCTCGAAAAAAAATAATTTAAGTTTATTTTTAAAAAATATTTTCTACTTCAAATTTTTATTTTTTCACCCCTACCCTCAACGCCCCCCCCCCCCCGAACAGCCCCAGCCCTCACCCCCAAAAAAAATAATTTAAGTTTGTTTTTTAAAAATATATTCAACTCCAAATTTTTAATTTTTCACCCCTACCCTCGACCCCCCCCCCCCCACCCCATCAAAAAAAATTAAGTTTGTTTTTAAAAAATATTTTCAACTCCATTTTTTTAATTTTTCACCCCTACCCTCGACCCCCCCCCCCGCTAGCCCCCCTACCAGCCCCCAGCCCTCCAAAAAAATTAAGTTTGTTTTTAAAAAATATTTTCAATTTCAAAAAAAATTCTACTCTCTAATAAAAATAATTGATATTTTCTTTAAAATATTTTTTATTCATAAATCAAACACTAAAAAATCTTTTCCGAAAAATATTTTCTACTCACCAACCAAACATGAGAAAATAAGTCAAAAATCTATTTATTTTCTAGGAAAACATATTTTAGAAAAACATTTTTCATGGAAAATATTTTCCATTCATACCAAACACACCCCTAATCTTTGCAAAATGCAGTAATAAAACATATAGATTATTGCAATTGTTAACATTTTTTATACGGAGAACTTTTTTTATTTTGATAAAATATTTTTGAAAATTTTAAAAATGTTGTTGCTCCACTAAAATATTTTTGAAAAGTTAAAAAATGTTGTTGCTCCACTATGTACTTCAAAGTCAAAACACAATTGACAAAAGGGAGGTATGAAGGGGCAAAATACAATAGAGCAACACATATACTATTGCTAATAAAAAAATATTATTGCTTCTAGCGAATGAGTTGATCAAAAATGATTATTGAGAACTAGAAATAACTAGTTTGCTGGTGGTAGACTTTGAGGCACGGTGGGGATTAAATGATGAGGTATTAAAATGACTTGAATTACCAATGTTAAATGATTATCTTGAAGTGTAATTATGAGTTTCAATTTATTTTTATTACATTTTTGATATACTTCTAATCTTAGAGTGTGATAAGTAAAATTATTATAATAAGTTATTGATTTTGTGATTCGAATCCGTAATTTATAGGTATCATAAAACTTTATCTTACTCAAGTGCTGCTCTGGATCCTATCAATGCCAGTATGTGGTGCACGCACCAAAAATAACAATATAAGTTTGAGTTTTTTTTAAAAAACCTCTTTGACAACTTTCCTCAAAAATATTTTAAAGTAATACTAAAAACTATTTAATTTATTTTTGGGGGAAAAAGAAGAGCTAATGACATTTTAGCAAAGAATTCTATTGTGATTGTTTTATTATAGAACCTTGTTGCAAAAGAAAGTGTACAAAATAAAAGAGTAGGGGTATTTTTGTAAACAAATATTTATTTAATAGACTTTATACAAGGCTTGCAATTTCCAATACATCAAACCAAACAATGTATAAGAAATAATGCAAGCATTACTAATACATCACATTCAACATTATTCTTATACACTCTACCAAACGACCCCAATAGTGTGTTCTTTAACTTGTTATTATTTGAGATTTATGTTATGTCACGATCCAAAAATAGACATGATGGCACTTATCTATTTCCATCAATAAAAGACAGCCTTAACCAAGCGAAACAAAAGAAAAAGTGAAAAAGAAACAAGAACAAGATAAAAACGAAAAACTTATTCTTTCTATTATAACTCCAAAATCTAGTTGTCACGTGTACAAGCCACTAATACATAAACTGCGGAATGAAAAATAAGTATAAGTCTCAATGTCTTTGTTTCCCAAATAGAACAAAGCATAACGTAAAGGAAACAGAGAGCCCGCGCGGGATGACAAATAGCTACCTCATCTTCAACAAGCCTCGGAAATGGGAGAAGAAGAAGAGGAATCACACGGTACCGAGTTCGAAGGCTACACAAGTGTAGAAGTAAGGAGTGAGTACCAAACAATACGGTACTCAGCAAGCAACCTGATAAGCAAAGCAAAACTAGCTAGAAAACGAAGACTCCTTTCATCCCAATCGAACCTCCTCAAACTACAACCTGCATAGAAATCAACCCAACCTAGCAGTGCTACAATACACAGTTCACAAGGCTCAACCACATAGTTCAATAGTCACAATTCAACTACTAACATGAATCAAGTACGTCAATCACAAGTAACAATTAGATATATCACAAGTACAAGCAAATCAAATCATAATAACCAACTCTTGCTGGAACCATTATCCTTCGGCACAATATAACTAGCCGGAATCATTTTTCATCAGCTTTATGTCACATCACTAGCCGAAACCATTTCCCATCGGTTTTATATCACATCACTAGCCGGAACCATTTTTTCATCGGCTTTATATCACATCACTAGCCGAAACCATTTCCCATCGGCTTTATATAATATCACTAGTCGGAACCATTTCAATCGACTTTATATCAAATCACTTGCCGAAACCATTCCTCTTCGGTATAATATCACTACCCGTAACCATTTCTCATCGATTTTATATCACATGTCTCATCACAGTGTGCAATAATCAAATTCTCTTAAGTTTTGATGTTAAAACTCATAAATGATCAAAGGAAAATGAAGTTTTAGGGTCCCAAAAGCTTACCCAAAAGATTCACCACGAAAAATCTCTCAAAAATTGCCTCCAAGAATTTTACAAAGTTCAAAATAGAAAAAAGGCTAAAACCCTGATGTCACGACCCGGGAGCACCCCCTAGTCGTAACCAGCGTACTCGACCTCGAAGAGGTCTAATACAAGCCTCTTAGCATTCATTCATCGCATAGACACCAAAACCATAAGGAATTAAAAACTTTCTTCACACACGAAGATACTTTCAATAAATAGCAAGCGGAAGACTTTCTAGACTTTATACAATATGTCTCAAAACCATCTAATACCTGAATATAACATTGGGACTAAGCCCACTCAAAACTTAAGCAAATACTAGAGAGACATAAAAAAAAGAACATGTTGGTTATTGCCCTCGAATCTATGAGGACTCACCAAGTCTTCATCTTCAACTCTTAAAAACCTAACAAGTAGCCATGACATATCACCATCTCCAAATCCCTACACTTTAGTCAAAAAGCGAAAGAAAGGGGTTAGCACAATTAAGTACTAAGTATGGAGACCATGCAAGAAAATATGCACAACGGACATTTACAAGAAATGTATGCTTTCATATCTTTTGATAAAACCTTTCCGTTACAAGTATAAGAGACATAATACAAGTCAACATTAACATATAAGACCATAGCCAACCATACATATACTTAACATAAATCCATATACAACCCATGCTTAACTTTAGAAGGACACATGTCATTTTATTACCATAGGACCTCTACCTAATATAACCTTAAGACACACTTGAGTGAGACAAGAAGTGACCGCCCACACGATCCTCTTCAAGCACACTTAAGTGTTTCCCCAAGATTACCTTAGATAAGGACTTTATAGGCAACGTGCATAATCATACCCGATAGATAGCATATTAATGAGATGATATGTATAATGATGCTTACATAAAATAAATCATATTTAGTGGGGCGTAGTACATGTGTGGTGAGTGACCATCAATATAGTATTTCCAAGGCCTACCACCCCCTTGGAGAGGCGAAAGAGGTACAAACCCCTCAATGTGGTTACCCGGGCCTACCACCCCCCGAGCTAGGGACCAAGGTACAAACCCCTCGATATGGTTATACGGGCCTACTACCCCCCGTACTAGGCAACCAAGGTACCAACCCCTCGATATGGTTATACGGGCCTACTACCCCCCGTACTAGGCAACCAATTCCAAAATCCATATAAATCAGCCCACCAACAACATACATATATATCAACCTTCATAATTTGATCATGGAAGCATGAAAACCATAAACATCACATAATAATTCCATTTCATGATAATATGCAAAATAGACCATAATAGGATGTGTAGTAGTAATTCCATAATTCAAGAGTTCATAAATAATCATAAGGACCCATAAACTTGAAGTAGAAATAGAGGATAAATGGTTGGACTTGTGGAAAGGAAGGTTTCCACAATCAAACCCACATACCTCAACTTGTTCACAAGTATATCAACCTTAGAAATACAATTACATAACTTATTTAACTTCTATTAGCTCAGTAATGATGACGTAAAATAGGATCATCATCATAAGTAAGCCTAGCATGTACAAATACAACTATGCTCCCAAAACAGGGAATCTGGCCAGCCTAGTACCTCATGTTGCATCTTAGATTTGAAAAGGAAAATGGCAGAACTAGACTTTATAACCTTCATGAAAGATGTAGATACATCTTTAGGGTTGCAAACAAACAAGGATCACCGCAAAATATATTTTGTACAAAAAGATATAGTCAAGACACTAGCCGCTGGTCGTGCAGGATTTCAATTCTCGGAATCTGGGCAGAACTTGCCCTATGTTGCGTCCCATATTTCGTATCCATAACAGTTAAATTAGAATTTTTCATAAACATAAAAGTTGTAGGTATACGAGTTAGATTTCCAAATCATATTTATTCACTGCAAACTAAGTTCTAGAGCAAGAGATATGCCTAAAATACCAAATACTATCCAGCTCGAAAACAGGTTTCGTCACTTACATCCGAAAGGAATGCCATATCCTATCGATTCATATTCAACAAAGCTTCTAATGTATCAAGAAGAGGCACCTAAGTCTACCAAGTCAAGACACACATCACATTATAAAGTTCATTCACATTCCATCATCATCACATATGAACAATAATAGAGGACACACTTTCAATCACAATACAATAACACTTTAAACAAGATCATCTTGAGATCACATGAACACCTTTATATTCACAACATGATTGCCTTTACTTCATTTGATTCTCATTCAAGTCCTTCACATCCCATTCACATATATGATATCATGTCAACACTTCAATTCCTCATATAATGTCTCCAAGGCCATAAACACAATACATTCAATAAGTAAACACCTCCACCATAAGTGGATCACACATCAATCTATCACAATTCTATATCAATTCTACCTTAACAATGAAGTTAGGTCCACTTACCCTTTTTCCCAAGCCACAATCACCATTCCTCAACTCTCCAACAATTCACAATAGATAAGCATAGATAATAATAGAAGTCAACTATTCAACTCAATCCAAGCATACTTCCATCATCATTCAATCATAAATAATAAACCCACTTCATAAGCCAACTTTAGGAAACTTGCCAAGACATGGGTTCATGGAAATTTCTTTCTTAAAACCATCAATAGACACCATTAATAATGTAAATCATCAAAAAAAAATCATTTAATGCAAGAACCCATGCTTAGAATCGAAATTAGGATTTTTGTGTTTTTGGAAGAACTTTGAATCATTTGAATTGAGCTCCTTGAAAGGAAGAATAATCAAGGATAAAGAATCCCCATACCTCTAAGTTGAAAACCCACGAGAATTGAAGAAGAAGGAACTCAAAATCTTCAATCTTAGCTCCAACTTCTTCTTCTTCTTCTTCCCCTCTTCTTCTCTTCTTCACTCAAGGACCCTAACTCTTACTCTTTTAAAATGGAACAAAAATGATCCACAATCAGCCTAACACAATAATATAACCTCAAAAGAAAAGATTTGTGAAAAGACCAAAATGCCCTTAAATTTCCGGACGGACTCCTTGCTCACTGCCCAACTTTCAAAGGGCATAACTCGCTCATACGAACTCGGAATCGAGAAAACTCGGTGGCGTTGGAAAGATCGTTCCAAGGGCTTTCCAAACATAACTGGAACTACTCCTGGATCATCCTGAGCTAGGAGTTATGACTGCTCAAAGTTGGCCAAAAACTCACTGATTTCCCACACTTAACCAAATTTCCAGGTTCTGAACTTTTTCCAAAAGTGACTACTTCCAATTTCAAGCTACTTCATATTCATTTTAAATTGTCGGATGTAACACAATTAAAATGAAATTACATAAAAACCCCTCATAGAACCTCATTATAAAGTCAACACAAAGCCATAGGCTCTTGCTTAACCTATCATTTTCCGAGTCGTTACACCTGAAATTTAAGGCCAAAAACCCCTTTCTGGTGTCGTAAAAACAGACTCAAGTTCTCTTAAGCGGCCATCTAAAGCGAACAAGAATTTCACTTTTGCAAACCTCGCAAAATTGGCACCTCTCGCAAAAATGAAGGCTCGTTCACTTTTGCGAAATTCACTCAAGCGAGCAAGTCTTCGAAAAAGCGAAGCCTGCAGACACCAACAAAACACATCCAAACACAAATTATCGAATGGACCCTCGAGATTTGTTCAAAACCCATACACACAAATCATATATGCATACTGACTATCTCAATGTTCCAGACTCAATGGAACCTTCGAAACATGAATTCGAGGTTTCCTTGACCCGACATTCGTGAAAGTCACAAAAAACTAACATAATGCCTAAGAAGGCCAAAACAAGCTCAGGACCTCTGAAAATTCAACCAAGTCCTCACTTAAGCCTAAAATCATCCCCCAAATCCAACGGAATTCTTGGAATTCCAATGCGAGCATCCGAACCCCGAATGTTGACCAAGGTTAATCCAAAGGCTAAAATTTCACAAATTTCTAACTTATGACCTCAGATCCTCAAAAATTTCTGAATCTGAAACAGATAACTGTCTTAGATCAATTTCCATATATCTGGAATGATGGAATCGACGGAATCTATTTCGATAATATTGAAAACTCCAAAAGACACTGAAAACCATTTTTTAACAAATTTAGCTTGTCAAACTCAAATCTTATAAAATTCACAACTTTATACTCAAGGTTCGAAACCAGCTTTCAAAACTCAAACATAAATGACTTTGGATCAATATCGGGAGGGAAAAGATGGTAATTTTATGACAATTTTCAAAAATGACCAACTAGGTCATTACATGTTCTCCATTTTTGGGTGTGCACAGGTAAAAATTTAAACTTGTAAAAAGTTGAATAAGTAGACACATGCGTCCTAGTGACATAATACATGGACACCACATAAGATGTCGTGTAAGATGTGAATTGCCACTTAAGACACCAAGTAGGACCCGTGTGTCCACTTGTTCAACTTTATACAAATTTAAGTATTTACTTGTGCACACACAAAGTTGGAGGACATAAAAACCAAGTTAATGATATACAGTAATTATGTATCATCTGTTTTTAACATTTTGAAAAGATTAAGTGAATTAAGATTAGAAATTAACATAATTAATGTGCAGGAAATATTGGAACAATATAGGTTGCTTGGATCAAAAGTACGAGAAGGGATAACAAGAAGTGTAGAAGGGGCTAGAGATGTGGGAATTAATAATGTTATATGTGAATGCTCAAATGGAAAAGTAGGCAGACCATCATCATGTGCCAAGTGCTTCAGAAGAAGAGTTGTTGAAGAGTTGTGTGAAAAGGGATTCAATGCTAGCCTTTGTACTTCGAAATGGAACCACACATCAAAGATGCCTGGAGGGAGACACGAATACATACAAGTTATAGCAAGCACACAGGGAAGAAAGAAGAAGGTTCCGTTGTTGATAGAATTGGAATTCAGAGATGAATTCAAGTTGGCAAAATCGTGCAAAGAATACTCTAAACTCATTACCCTATTGCCTCAGGTTTTTATAGGGAAATCTGAACACTTAAATGCTATCGTTCGGTTGATGTGCGATGCAGCAAAGAGATCAACAGCCCAACAAAGGATCCATTTGGCACCATGGAGGAAGAGGAATTTCATGCAGATGAAATGGTCAGCTTATAATTCTGAAAAAAGATTACTACATCACAATCAAATCACTTTAACTAAACTAACCCAACAACTACTCTTTAGGCCTCCTCCTGCTGCTGCTGCTCTCAAAGTTGCTTAAATTCACTTGTTGCATTAATTTCTCCTCCACAAGTCTAGACTAGCTATTCAATTTCAGATTATGATCAGCTATTATGGTTTGCCAAGTTGTTATGTATTATCTTAGTTTTCACTTTTTTCTATGGAACATATATATCTCAAGAGTTATGTACTATCGGCGCGTCTACAAATCAAATACTACAATTTTACTACTTGAAAAACTTAATTATTCAACTTTATGTTTAGTTGTACATGACTCGTAGTTGCATAACCTTTGGTGTTGATCTCGCATTCTTCTGCAATGGCTTTACTATTGACCGGTCACTTTTTGGTGTCTGGTCCTTGTTTTTGGAACCAAAAACACAGACCAGAGTTATGATATTAGGATCCAATATCATATCGGTGACTTGTTATTCAAGAACACGTCACTAATTAATATGATACTAGATCCTAATATCATAACTCAGGTCTGTGTTTTTGGTTCCAAAAACATGGACCATGCACTAGAAAATGACCGTTCAATAGTAAACCCATTGCAGAAGAATGCGAGATCCTAATATCATAACTCAGGTCTGTGTTTTCTCCACGGGTTGCTTGCTGATTTTCCCACGTGTCATTCTCGATTTTTACCACATACATATGTTATCTATATGTATTACTAACATATCTAGAACAAACTTTGCAGAACTTCGTAAGAAACAATAAAGTTTAAAGTATATTTTCAAAAACAGAAAGTTAAACCCAGTAAAGAAAATATAATCTGCAACAAAACATAAATAATATTGAAAATAAAAAAAAATTGAGTCCGTTGAATGCAGAGTGTGTCTTTAAGGAAATTATTCCCCTCAAGTACCCTATGTTAATGAAATATATCCTCCCACGATATAAGGATCTTACTCACTTGTATATTGGTACAAAAAACCACGATGTCAGCGAATCACTCAAAGGCAGTAAAGCACACTAGAATCTATTTGTGCAGAATAAGAAGTTCATAAATTATTTTTTCGTAGATAAATAGAAGGAAATGCCTCTATTTATAGACAACAAAGGGTAGTGTGAACAAATGTTTATTGTGCCTTATCGGAATGTTACAACCCTTTGGAAAAGTCACAACATTTCGAAAAAGTCATAACCTTTTGGAAAAGTCGCAACTCTTTAAAAAAGTCACAACTCTTCATTTTTCATTCACTCCTTTTAAAATCCAACATTCCCCCGCATTTTAAAAAAATCACAACTCTTCATTTTTCATTCACTCCTTTTAAAATCCAACACTCCCCCCTCATGAATAGGGAATGATACTAAGACAAAGAAATGGACAAGTGTGTACTTTACTAGTCAGAATTAATTGCATCTGGATAAGTAGGTTTCCCTTTGAACTCTCTGTAATGAATGTAACACCCCAAAAAATTATAATTTAAGACCCGAACTATTCTTAAGTTGAATATAAGATCGTACCAAGTGATTCTTAATTGTTCTTAGATTCTAAGGTTAATTCGTTAGCGTGGGAAGGATTTGGATATCAATTAAGGTCACTAGAATCCTCTAACACAAAGTTGAGTTGAAAGTTTCCTTACCGATTAAGTTTTGACTTAAGATTTTACTTAAATTAACTTCAAATAATCATATGTCTCAGCACATAATGAACTAGGTAGCCCATGACCTATCAAATTGAAGGTCTTTGAGTCATCTTTCCAACGCCACCAAATTTGCATCAATCCGAATTCTTAGTAAAAACTTATGTCTGATTTACTAGAAACACTTTAACATATATAGCAGCAGCTCTGCGATGCTCCACGTTACGGAGTGAATACGGACCTCACTGTCCACTGAAAAAAATCCCAACTTTCAGCTCCTTTTATTTATTTATTTATTTAAGGGTATTTTAGTCCTAAAACCCCATAGGAAGGCATCTAAATTACCCTAAATGTGTAGAAAAATCAATTTTCATAATCAAACCCTCTCTTTCACTCCTAAATTTCTACGCTTAAGAACTTCAAGAAACGCTAAGGCTAGTGTTCATCTTCCAAGATTTTCCTTCAAGTTTCTTCAAGAACATTGTTCTACCAGGTATGTAAGGATTCTCACAGTGTTAGACTTATTCGTCCTCACGCCCTACATCTCAATTTAATCTAGAAATCATTATATTCAAAGGATCCATTTGTAGTTCTTGATATTGAGTTCAATTCTTTAGCAATGGAGGTTTTGATTCTTTTATTTTGTGAATCTTTGGTAAAGTTATGTTTCTAAAGGAATTGTATGAAAGGTCTCATTTATTCGTGTTGGGTTTGAAAATCAAAAAGAGTTTAGGAGAAATTTCTTAATTCTAAACTAATTTGGGGTCCTAATTTAAGCTTGAAAATGCATCGGAGTGTTGGGGAAGGGCCTGGGGCGGCGCACGATGATAGCTTCAAGGTTGAACTTCAGCAGTTCGGGACTTGGGGCGATGCGTCATCAGTGCGCCAAGGCCTGACTTCTGAAGTTCAGGCCCTGGGGCGACGTGCCAACATTACACCAAGGATTTCTAGGCTAATCTTTCCTTATTTCATCCGGCACGTGTTCCTTTAAGTTGTGGCCACATTTCCCTTATTTGTATTAGCTACTAGAGGCTCAATTTTCCTTTGAAAATTCTGGCATATCCTAACCACATGTCTTAATGCATGTTCAAAACTAAAGTGAGTTTAAGAAAAAAGTTTGAGAGCTTTTGAGTTATTACTGAGAATCCTTTTTAACCAACAATGATCTTAAACTAATTTTCTGAGAAAGGAAAGATGAGTTGATTTTGAGTTCTTGAGTTCTTGAGTTCCTGATTCTTTTTTAAATTCTATTCCTAATTATTGAATTGTTATATGTCATGCATTGAGATACTTGAGTTGAGTTGTTCATGTCTATATTTCAGCATAAACCCTATTAATTGAGTATTCTTGAGATGAGTAGTATCGTTGAGTTCTGAGTTCTTGAGTTAGTGAGTTCTGAGTATTGAATTTTCTATATTGTTATTGAGATCCTGGAGTTGATTCGTTCATGTCTATATTTCAGCATGAACCCTTTTTGAGTATGACCTTTCAGAATCTTTTAAAGTCATCATTTGTGTTTAAACATAATTTTGAGGAAGTAAAGAGGAGTTTGGAAAGAGTATAAGGGAGCTAAGTATTTCTCTAATGTTTCATTTTTTTCTACATGAAGAAAGAGAGTATTACTTTAACAAAAGAGAAACTTTTCTTTCTAAACGAGTTTATGAGTTCAAGGATATTACAGAGCAGTTACCTCTTTTAAGAGGATAGTTTGAGGAATTATCTCAAACTAGAGAAAGAGTATGTTTTATACATTTGATAATGCGTATATATATTATTGGGAGTAGTATTGAGAACCGATATGAGGATGAGTTCAAACAACTCAAAATCCTCATAAACCATTTATGTCAACATGGGTAAATGATCATACTTTTTAGATGAATCTTTAATGTCTTCGGGTAGAGCTTAGTGGATCCACTTAGTTGAGGTGTTCTATACCCCGACAAGGTATATGACAATTCTGGTAGTGTGGACGAGATTCTATATCATCACGTAGCTCATAGTGATGATTGTCGGTTAGAGAATCTCCCAAATAGACTTAAAAGCATATTTTTATTATATCACTTAATATGTTGAGTTCAGAGATGAGTAAGTATTTTTATAAATTTTTAATGATTTCACTTCTTTATTTCTTGACATTCAGTTGAGTATATATCTATATCTATTGCAGTCTTTCTTCCAGTTATTTGTTATGCAATTATATTACATACTCGTAAATTCAATGTACTGATATCATTCGACATGCATCTTTTAATGATCCAGATACAGATTCTTAGGATCATCAACAAGAGTCTGTTGAGATCACTTCATCTACTCGTCAGCTTTTGAGTAAGACTTCCTTACTTCTGGAGGACTCCAATTTTATGAGTTTTTAGTAGTAGTTACCTTGAGGAGTCATGGGTCTTATTCCGACACTCATCTTTGTATAGTAGAGGCTCCATAGATAGAAAATTTTGGAAAGTCTTTTCATTTTAGATGTTTTATTTAAAACTTATGTTTCATACTCAGTATATTCAACGAAGTTTTGAGATTCAGTAAACTATTTTTAAACGTTTCTTTCAATTTGATATTTATGTATGCTTTAATTAGTCTTTCGTTTATAGTCAGCTAGGATGAGGGTTCTCTTGGGGGGCAGCAATGGTTCTCGAGTGCCGACCACGTCCAAGGTGTAGGCTTGGGGTGTGACAATGAACATGTGTTGAATATACTTGGTCAATTGGTAGATCTGATATCTTTGAACTGTCAAGCATTGGTGTATACCTAGACAATCATATGTTTTTATATAGTCAATTGTGCAAATTCCACAAGAGAGTAGTTTTCTAACGGTATTATGTCTACGTCTTATATAATGAGACTTTTCGCTATACATCATGCTTCATATCCCACCTATTGCATCTTGACTATCAAAGTGTATGCATAATGGAGCCAAAGGTTTGAACCAAAAAAGAATATCTGCCAAGAAATTCCATAGTTATTCAACTTCTTCACTACTTTATCTAGAATGATAAACTCATATCTCATTGTAGAACGAGCGATACATGTCTTTTTGGAAAATTTTCAGGAGACTACTTCTCCATCAAGAGTAAATACATACCAACTCATGAATTTTACTTCATTTTACCTAGTGATCCAATTTGAATCATTATATCCTTTTGATATTGCTGAAAATTTGTTATAATACAAAACATAGTTTTGAATAATTTTAATTACCCAAAACTATTTTCATTGTTATCCAATGAGTTTGATTGGGATTACTCGTGGTTTACTAATAACACATACTATATCTGATAAATTGCAATTCATGATATTCATCTACTTTCTAACACTCTTGCATAATTCAATTGTAAATTACTTACATCTTCATTCTTTTGAAGTGCAAAGCTTATATCTATTAGAGTCTTGATAGTGTTGATGTTCAAATAATTGAACTTGTCAAGTATCTTTTCAATGTAATAAAATTGTTACAATGCTAAACCTTGTGGAGTTCTAAGGATTCTTAGACCTAAGATCACATCAGCAACTTCAAGGTCTATCATAACAAAGTTTCTTTCTAGCATACACTTAGTAGAATTTATGTCAGAAGTGTCTCAACTGATGATCAACATGTCATCAACATATAAACTAATAAAGACCTTGTGATT